ATGCAGTCATGTGAAAACATTAGGACAACCCCCCCCCCCCCCCCCCAAAAAAAAATAAAAATAAAATAAAATAAAAATCAGTCTTTTATTAAGAAATGTTCACAACTTGTTCACAACTTGATCCAATAATGGTCAATCAGGTCATCTAGACAGTTTCTTTTTTTGTGTGGGTGGAAAGATGTTCCGCCCTCTATCCGGAGGACTTCATCAGTCTAAGGAGTCCCAAGTAAACTGCTTTCCTCACTAAGCAGTACAGTCCTTTAGTGGACCAACCAGTTTGTTGGTGATAATATGGTTTCTGGGGGCTGTCCTGTCCCCCGTCGACTCCTCCCAGGCAGGCAGCCACAGCCAAAGTGGTTCAAGACCTCAAAGTTCATGCTCAATCATCCAGGTACAAAATCAAACGTGAATCACTTTGGCTGTGGCTGCCTGCCTGGGAGGAGTCGACGGGGGACAGGACAGCCCCCAGAAACCATCTTATCACCAGCAAACTGGTTGGTCCACTAAAGGAGTGTACTGCTTAGTGGGACTCCTCAGACTGATGAAGCCCTCTGGATAGAGGGCGAAACGTCTTTCCACAAAAAATAAACTGTCGGGATGACCTGATTGACCATTATTGGATTTTGTACCTGGATGAGTGAGCATGAACTTTGAGTTCACAACTTGATGTACAATCTATCAGCATGCTCAATAATCCAGGTAGATAAATCTAACAAAGTTAAGTCAGGTCCTCTGGATGGTTTCTATGTGTTGAAACGTTTCGTCTTTTATCCAAAGGACTTCGTCAGTCTGAGGAGCCACAACAAACTCAGACTCATAGTGAGCCAACCAGTTTGACGGTGCCAAGATGGTTCCTGGAATCCGCTCTCTCCCCTGTCGACTCGATCATCGATACAAAAAATAAATTAACAAAAATGCTTTTTCTAACTGAGGAAAATGTTCGGACACGTTCAAGGAGACTCTTCTCGTAGGGCCTAGCGGTCTCTGGCACCGGTCTGAGGAAGGTTTGCCCCACTTCTCAACAGAATTGTTTCAGCTGTGAGATTTATGAAGCTTCTTGCACGTTCAAGTCATGTTGAGACCGTTTGAGATTAAGGTCTGGGCTTCCGCCATCTCTTTGTCTTCAGCTGGTCCTTGGTGGATTTACTGGTAGGTTTATGTGTCCAGTTCGGCTTCAGCTTTTTACAGATGGTCTCTTCGATGACGGGGAGCTGGCCAGGTCCTGCTGCAACAAAGCTCCCCCAAAAACCATGACTCTTCCACCTCTGTGTTTGGATGAGGTTCTTTTCTTGGAGTTTATGCCAAACGTGCAGTTATGGTGTCCAAATGACTCGTCTGTCCAAAGAACATTCATTTAGACGTCCTGCCCATGTGTTTTTACAAAGCAGAGGTTTCCTCCTCACAGGTGAACGTGTACAGTCTCTTTCTGATTGTAGAGACGAGAACTTTCACCTCCGCAGTGACACAACCTGCTGAAGACCTCCTAGGACGCTCAGGACTCGAGACAGCTGAAGACTATTTTCCAGACGTCTGATTTCAATTTGTTTTGAGATTTTTTTTTAAATATTTTATCAGACTCAAAAGTCGGAGTTTGAGTAAACGTGGGGGGGTGTCTTAATTTATTCCTCACCAGAAACGTCTCTTTTTTTAAGAAATAAAATTCATTTTCCTCACATTGTTAAAATTAATTCGCTGAAAAGTCTTAATTAAGAAGATCCAAAACGACTTCTTGTGTTAAATTAGAAAAGCAGATGAACACTTTACACCGGAGAAACTACTGAAAACATTGCCTCTTAAAAAGTCATAGAATGAAGAAAATTGCATTTATTTTTGTTTGTTTGTTTGTTTTTCCTCGACAGCAGTGAACCACAGTACTAGAAAGCCCCGTCTCTGCCTGGTTGCTTATTTTTGCTCCGATCCGTACGATAAAAATAGATCTCCTGTAAAAAAAAAAACAAGAACCTTCTTTTCTCTGTCTGTGAATCTTGAGGGACGGGATGTCAGTGAGAAATAATCCCAATCATCTCAGAAGTTAGATCAAACGAGCAGCTGTGACAATAACCGCGAATGGATCTGTTTGAGGGCTTAAAGAGAAATGTTCGACGGTCCAGCCGGTGAAAAGCTCTCAGTATGAGGAGACAGATGAGGGTTTAAGAAGACATCTGCAGAAAACCATGAATCTCTGATTAGACCTGTCGCAATAAACAATAAATCAACTAATCACATGATAAATGAAAATTACCAACATCACTTTCATTTATCGTCTTTATCGTTTCTTCGTCCATCTACTGAAGACACTGGATGACCCCTCCCTTTCTCTCGTCTCTTTAAAATCGGTTTTAATCGTCCAAAATCGTGTTTTTGGATCGCTAAAAGCAGCTAAGCTGAGAAACTAAGCTACGAGCTAAGCTAACAGGCTGACCTCGGGAAAAAAAAACTCAGATGAAACCCGTGCCTTCGTGTAAAAAGTTGTTTTTCTCTGTAAAAAGAAGCTGAGAACTTGTTTACTGATTTTTTTTTTTTTAATTAAAAGCTTTGTGTGAAAAATGCTATGCTAACGAGCTCAAACCACATCGAGCGGCCGCCATTTTGAGAACAGAATAAAAGGAAGGAGACAACCCATGTCACGTCAAGGGGCCTCCCTCCCATTATTCTTAGAGACACGCTGCTCGCTCCCTCACTATCCATCCTTTGGTTCAAACAGTCTTATACTGCCATCCGGTGGTGGAAAAAATGTACTACACACAAAACAAATGAATTTTTATTAAATTTTACAATAATTACCAATGATTGTCAAATTTCAAACAATATTATCGTTTATCGCAATAATTTCTGAGACAATTAATCGCCCAGCAAAATCTGTTATCATGACCGATTATATCTCTGATGCCATATCTTTGTGTTACGACTCTGTACATCAGAGATAGTTGTGCCTGCATCGAGCAGCACGGTCACAGACCCCCAAGGAAGAGCAGCAGAAACCAGAGCTGGAATCTCAACACATTCTCCAGGAATACGTAAAAAAAAAAAAAAAAAAAAGAACAAAGTCGAGCCTGAGGTGCAGAACAGCTCTTGAAGTACAGATGGAGTTCACGTGTCCATAAGAACCTCTGTTTGCGTTCGATTTTCTGTCCAGGGGGCTTCATCAAAACCTTTTCTGAGACCGAGACATGTGGCCGAGGAGCTGAATCACAAATAACTCATGCAGCACGCAGAAACGTCGCACAAATATTCTAGGAGCCGATTAGCGTTTGTTCGAGCTGAACGTGCAGCAGCACGGCAGCCAGAGCTCCGAGAAGTGGAGGTTTTAAGTTTCAGGCCTTTTTCCACGTCTCAAGAGTTTCTGATCAGATTGCTATAAATGTTGATCCATAACCAGCTGACGAGTTTCCTGTTACACACACAAGCAGGCAAACTGGGAAAACAACTGGAAAATAAAACCCAGAATGCAACAATTTGGAAATCCCATTAACCCGTATTGTATTCACAGCGGAACCAGTAACCATGTCAGTTGTTGCAAATTGTACCATCTTAAGGATAAAAATAAGGTAATTGTGAATTATGGCAGCAACACATGTTGGTGGTGAGGCCACGAGGCTGTAAAATGGTATGGAGGATCTTTAGCAATAGGTTAACTGGTAAGAGGGCTGGGGATAAAGTTAAGATTTTAGAGGGGCTGAATAGAAAATTATAGCATTCGGTTTTTATTTACATTTTATACAGCTTTATCGGATTTGGGGTTTTGTCTTGCATGCATCATCTTCGCTTTCATCAGCTTCAAATCTGCTGAAATATTAATGACTGGGTAGCACATGAAGATGACCAGCGCTCATTCGTTCCCCGCTCTTTGGGGACTTTGCTCTTCTTTCGTGCAGCGTGGGATCAAATCTCAAAGTGACGGCACACTGAAACCGCTGAGACTCTTTTACACACTCGGAGGACCTGGACTCCAGACATGAAGATCATGAAACGCAGACGTGTCAAATCGCTGCACCTGCAGTAAAACGGATGTGAGCTGAATGCACTCGTCCCAACTGAGCATTAATGTGCAAATTCAAACCTTTACAGCTTAAAAGATTAGAGATTAGTTTTAATGCCTTTAACGAGCTTCCCTTGCAAATTCTGACTAAAATGGTTTCTTTGAAAGTCTATTTATAGAAAACACACAAAGGGGAGCCTGGAAACAGGATCTAGTGAGCAACACTAATTACCATCATCATCATCACTGTCATATAATCTGTGCTATGATGTGAGGTGAATATCTTCTGATGTTCTGCCATATCCTGACCTACTGAAATGTCACAAGTTCTATTTAAACCTGGCACTTTTGAGGCCACCTCATTTGATCTTAGACACATTTTGCAGCATTTAAGATGCATTTCAGAACAAAAAGACCTTAAACGTGTAGCTGGTACATATTTAGTGAGGTTAATTATAAAACAGTTGCCTTCAGGGTTCATTTAAACCCTTCAACAGCTCTTAATGCAGTATTTGCTCAGCTGAGTCCAGACTGAACAGCAGCAGCGGTGATCTCAGCGTGAATCAAAACAAAAGATAATTTATAAATTCAATCGGATTAATAATAAACTGAAGCGCGCGTTTCGGTTTCTGCAGCCCACAGGAGGGTTTAGCAGCCAGCTGAGTCCAGGAGGAACATGGGGTGCACCTGGTTTGGGTGGAACAGTCTGAAACGCTGCCAGCTCTTCCTCCTCCTCATCATCATCCTCCTCCTCATCATCATCAAACCGAACCACCAACTTTCACATTTTCAGTCCTAATCTTTAAAAATCCGGGACAAAAATCCGATTCTAATGTCCATTTAGACCTTATTAGTCGGGTTTAGTGCTCGCTGCAGCACGTTTCAGTTTGCATGCGTGCGCACGCGCCTCCTCCCCGCTGCTATAAATTCCTAAAGACGATTGCGCCAAAAACGGCGCCAGGAATGCCGTCAGTGCGCATTGACCCGAGCGAAGGGAGAGTTTTAAATTCACACGGCTCACCTCATGGGCGTCCTGACAGCTGCAGTCTGCTGCTTGTGGTTAAAGATGCTGCTGATTTTTTTTTTTTTTTTTTTGTATCAGAAAACAGGAGAAACTCCCACCCGCTCAGGGACCGTCTGACAATTTCCACTCACGTCAGGAGTGCGAAGGGAGCGTCGACAAATTACACCACTTTGAGTTTGTGGAAACTTGGCTCCAATCTTATTGGCTCAGAAAACTATGTTTATATTTGTAACATTAAGGAAGCGTACTGATAGTTCAAACACTGGAAGGGAAATAAACTTTAGGAATTATTGCAAATAAATAAAATATAAAGGTACATTAAAAACATACCAGAATGTTGATAATGGTCAATTAAAAATGTTACGGTTCATGTTTCAATAATTTATCACTCATAATAAAACATATATTTTCAGTCCATTCATGCACATGCAATAGGAAGTTAAAAAGAAAGGTTTTTGAACTGATTGTTAAAGGTTTACCAGGGAAACGATGATTCTGAGGAGGAAAAAGCCTTAAAGAGTATAGATATGTCAGTATTAGAAAAAATACTATCAACTAATTCAGTAATTTTTCATATTTAGTATACCATATTCCAGTGTGTGACTGTGCAGTAAATAAAATAACAGTAAACACTTTTTGTGAATGCACTAAAAGAAAACAAAAAAATCTCCAAATATGTGACAAACTGTAAAAATAATCTACATTTTCAAATACATTTGCTGTAAAAACAGAGGAAATGAAATATTTGTGTAAAATGACAGAAGTTGGCCACTAACAAGCTATCGGTCATTGATTGTTTTGATGGAATATTTTTTGTAAATTAACATTTAGATTCTGGTCAATGAGTTTCCTGATCAGTAAATGAGATTATCATTACAGCATAGCATTTAATCCAAGCCTACATTCCTCTCTACTTGTGTCTGTGTTTTGATTGATTGATTTATTGATTTGTTAATGGAACAAAAACAATAGAGAGAAGTCTTGTATCCAAGGTGATTTAATCTATTCTGCACCAAGAGCAGAAATAACTGAGGCTGGATTGCCACCTGCTGGACTCTTCTTACCTGAACTTTAATAAACCCAACCTGCACATCACCAGAACAGAAACCAAATCACAGTACCTGTACTCCCAAACACTGAAGAGGTAATAAAACTAAACCAGCTCCAGTATGTCTTAATTTGCATACAAAAATACAGATACTGCCTCGTGTAATGTCTTTATTATTTTGCATTTTTGTTCAATTCAGAAGGAAAATTAGCATTTTTTAAATTGTACTTCTAGATTTAATCTACCTTTTCTAAATGAAAAATTACATCTAAAACCTACATAAATAAATAAACGCCACATGTTTAGCTAAAGAGAGGAGGCTGAAATCGCTGCCTCCTGTTCTAAAATTATAAACTTTAGGAACCACAAGTAAACCTGCAACCTGAGAGCAAAGCGCTCTGTTAGGAAAATGTGGACCAATTTTTTTTTTTTTTTAATATAAGATGGAGCATAGGGCAGCACGGTGGCGCTTCTGGTAGAGCTGCTGCCTCTCAGCGAGAAGGTTGCCGGTTCAAATCCCGGTCCGGGTGGCCTTCCTAGGTGGAGTTTCATGTTCTCTCTGTTTGTCCGGGTACTCCGGTTTCCTCCCACAGACCAAAAACATGCATGTTAGGCTGATTGGTAACTCTAAATTGTCCCTAGGTGTGAGTGAGAGAGTGAATGGTTGTTTGTCTCGTTTGTCTCTATGTGTCCCTGTGATGGAGTTGCGTCCTGTCCAGGGTGTACCCCACCCCTCGCACATGATTGCTGGACATGGGCACCGGCGACCCCCGTGACCCAAAATGGAAGAAGCGGGTAAAAGATAATGGATGGATGGAGCACGGTTGTTCAGCGATTTAAACATTAGAAGTGGGTTTTTATTCTTATTTTCAGGAAGCAGCATTTTAGGATCAGCTGAAGACCTTTTGAAGATTTTTTAAAAATCTATATCCAGATGATAACAATTACAGTAGTCTAGACTAGATGCACGAACCAGGTTTTGTGCATCGGTTGAAAACAAGACGTTTCTAATTTTAAAGCGAAATAAGTCCCAGTGGCATTTTATTTGAACGGGTTAAACACATGTTGCGATCATTTTAATAAAATGTGTTGTGCTGACCTGTTACACGATTTTCAAAGCTGAACTAAGGCCTTTGTTTATTTCGTGATGCATTTATTTAATTTTGTCACATTCCACCCTCCATACATCCTGTCACGCCACTGATTTGACGACAAACTTTGTGAACAGACGCATCCGGACCAGCAGGGGGCGCTGGACAAATGAGGGACCGTGTCCATGAAGACGTCCTCTGGTTGAGCAGCTGCAGGGCTCCGTGGTGCTGACAGGACGGCTCCTCCGCGCCCTCACATCTGCAGGTAGGCAGATGTGTCGCCGTGCAGATGAAGGAAAGCGAATCAAATCGACTCCGATGCGTTTTTACTCTTTAAATAACCAGAAAACACGAAGGAGGCGTCAATGTTTGGTGTGCGCGGTATTAATTAGTCCCAAACTGAGGGGGACTACCAATGTGTGTGTGGACAGAAAGGGGCACAGCCACAGATTTAAAGTTTTAGGTTTAGTCCAAGGCTTTAAATGGCTCATGATTTCCACGTTTGCTTTAGGTGGACCTCTGAATCAGGGATGAGATATTCTTGGAATCCTTAGTGGCCCCTGGGGGTCCTTTGACCCTAATTTGTTCAGAAACGAGTTCATCATTAGCAGCAGGTTTGTCTGTTGTTGTTTTTACCTCCAAGATGTTTTAATAATTACCATAATTTAAACTGTTTTACCCAATGGTAAATAATAACAATAATTATTATTAAACCATGTTGCCATATGCCATCGCTTTAAACTAAATCATCTCAATTTAGAAATGCATCGGTAGCCATTTTTGATAAATCTTGCAAATATGTCGCGGGATGTCGTAGTATGTGTTGTGAATGACTTTCAGCTACTACCACATCATATCTGATCTAGAAACTGACAGAGTTACAGCCTTTTTTGTGTTGGCAATTGTGGCAGCCATCTTAATCTGACAGATATTTTGCTAACAGACAGACCAAGTTGACTAATAGCTAATGGCAATATTTTTAATGGTGCTCAGGATAGTGGGGATCATTCTCAGCGACTGAGTCAAATCTCGAGCTCACAAACATCCTAATCTCGTGATGCGTCTTGTGAAATGTTGTTTTCCTCCCTCTTGCACAGACATGTTCACCCGGATGTTAAAGCTGAGGCTCCTCAACGCCGTCGCTCCTGCGTACTTCTTCATGGCCACAGCAGCCACCTTCATCCTCTACTTCTGCCTCTTCATCCCAACAATCTTCCCCAGCCCAGACACGGCCCTGAGCTCTACAACGCTCCACGCGGCCGTTTTCCTTTTCCTCATGTTCAACGCGTTGGGCAACTACGTAATGACTATTAAATACCCCGCCGAAAGTGCCAACGAGACCTCGGTGCCGGTGTGCTCGCCCCACTGCTCTGACAAAGTGGACGCCCACTACCTCCTGAACGGCCGTCACTTCTGCAAGCTGTGCAAGAAGGTCATTCTGAAGAGGGACCACCACTGCTTCTTCACGGGCAACTGCATCGGCAACAAAAACATGCGCTACTTCATCATGTTCTGCGTGTACACGTCGTGCACCTGCCTGTACTCGCTGGTTCTGGGTGTTGCCTTCCTGACGGTGGAGTACTCCATCTCCTTCGAGAACCCGCTCACCTTCCTGACTCTTCTCCCTCTCTCCACTGGCTACTTCTTCATGGGTAAGTTTTCCAAACGCAGCTGATGAGTCTGCTGTGTTTTGGCTTTTCAGGTATAACTGAACGTCTACACCCCCCCCACCCCACCTCCACCTGCAGGAACGATCTCGGGCCTGCAGCTGTTCCTGGTGCTGATGCTGTACGTGTGGCTGGGCATCGGCTTGGTGAGCGCAGGCTTCTGCTGCCAGCAGGTGCTGCTGGTGGCTCGGGGACAGACCTGGTGTCAGATGCAGAGAGGGGAACTTTTGGAGAACGGCAGCCCCTGGAGAGCCAACCTCAAGGATATTTTTGGCACCCGCTGGATTCTTGGCCTTATTTTGCCCGTGCAGACAGTGGAGACGTACTCTGAAGACATACACAAGCAGGACTGAGCGAGTTAACAGCAGAAAAAGCTGTTTTGAATCCACGTGATTGGTTGGATGCTGTCGTGGCGTTTATTGAAATAGATCATTCATATATACATTTTAAGGACAAGAGCCATAAAACGATGTGAAATAGGTGCATAGATTACAAATATATTCTTAGTTTTCGTATTTTCCAAGCAGCTTAACGAATCAGGAATAATATTGGATTTTTCTAGTTTATAATTATTTCTTCTTATTAAAACAAAAAGATGGCTTTGCATGCCTTCAAAGCTTTGTATTATTGACAGCTATGTGGCGCTCTCAGATTATAATCTGCCACACTTGACAGCTTTGTTTTGACAGTTTGCTTTTTCCATGTTGAGCCTGGAGACGTTTTCTACTCAAAACTGATGCGACTCTGATCCTTCAATGAGAATGCAGTGATGTTATTTTTTTTTTTTTTAAGTGTATTATATTATCCAGGGTGTCATTCACAATATGCCATAAGTACGCTTCTATAGGTATTATTCTGATAAGACATGATCAGACGTCCTGTCTGAGATGATTTTAGGTATCGAAGATCTTTTTTGGAGATAATTTTGTGTATTACAATAAAAACCTTCTCAAAACAATGACACAAAGCTGCTCCTCTTCCATCTTTAATAAAGACACATTCTTATTAGAAAAGCGACAGACGATATTCAACAGTTTGATGAAGACAAAAATAATCACGTTTTACAACAACAAGCAACACATTACTTTAAAACATTTTCTCCTTGCTTCCATTCAAAACCAAGAAAGTCTTTTCTACCTTTTAAAGAACTGATTATTTTTTGAAGGCCGTGTTACAAACATAAATACAACCTTTACTCAGAGGGCAATACTCAACTACAGCAAAAGTTTGCGTTATAATCTCAAAAAGTAGGGATGCAAGATATTGGATTTTTGTCCGATACCAATACTGATATTTTCCCTAGACCTACTTACAAAAACTACATAACTTTCTCTGCCGTGGAATTAAACTAGATTACTCTGCATGGTCTTTGTCAAGATGGATATGCTACCAAATGCAGATGCTAAAAAGGAGGCTGACGATGATGAACACTATATAACTAAATATTTATTTAAAAAAAACAGCACCTTTTAGATCAGTGAGTTATTTTGATGGAATGGCCGATGTCCGATATTTAACTTTATCGCTAATATCGTCCGATACCATGCCGATAATATCGTGCATCCCTATCAAAAAGGAATATGAATTCTTTGGAAACCCTTTAGCACATCCGACTTCTCAACATTTGTAAAGAAACGCAAACAATGAAGATGAAAAAGCAACAATATAAAGTACAATCAACAAAAGGCACAGGTGTCAAGATAAGTGGTTTAGGTTCACATTATTTTAACAAGACAAAGTACAAAAGTTTTAATACAAAACGAAAACAATTAGCCGCCATCTTTTTTTGCCTAAAAAATTAAGGTTACACCGTTTGAAAGCATCGAACTACAGCAGGAATAACAAATCCAAAGGCAGGACAGCTACAAGCTACAGCACTTCATTGCTACATTTCCTACATGTAGTTCCCACAGGTATTTTTAAAAATAAAAATCTAAATTCATCAAAACAAGCATCTTAAAATCATCTATTTTTAACACTATTCACATTAATATATATATATAATTTCCCTCTGGGATTAATAAAGTACTTTTGAATTGAATTTCATTAATCTTTATTGCAAAGATAAATTAATACTGACACTAAATAAAACTTTTAAACAGGTGAGACTAAATATGTAACTTACAATAATGCAATGCTATTTAAAATAATATTACAGACAACATACAAAAAACTGGAATAATATTATAATAAAAATATCAATGTGAGTTTTTATTTTGATAATGAAACATGGCTGAAAAGAACCATGATAGAGGCAACAAAAATCTGGTTAAAGGCGTAAAACTTAAAACTCTCAGAATAACTGGATTCAAACCAGTAAGATAAGAGAAAAAAAATCTAACACCAAATAGTTTTTCAAAATTACCAAATAAAAATATATATTAAACAAGAAAAACAAAACTCATCTTTAGTTCTGCAGAGGAACCAGTGGCCCTGATTTTCAGGCACCTTAGGTGGTGCCTGATTAAAAAAAACAGACATTTTCATGTTTTAAAATCACTGCTTACCTCTGCATCCACACATTTTGACCATGCAAAAATAAATATATAAATTAAATAAATAAACCAGAACTGCTGCCACATTTTCTAAGCTGAGCTAAACTTTAGAGTGGTTGAAAAAAATTTGTCAGAAATAAAAACTATTCTAAATAAGCACGTATAAAACAAATACTTTCCTGCTTTAAGCGTTTGATATGTTGTCAGTCTCTAATTTACGCAGCATCCCAGTTAAAGCAGCCTATGATGACTGACGTGATGCATCCATCTGGCTTTTTTTACAAGCTGTAAGGCATGCGTAATTAGGAGTTGGACACTTCCACACCCCTACTGCAAGTGATGCCTGCTGTTTTGTAACAGCAGATGCAATAAAATTCATTATAGGCAAAGGTTTGAAATACAAGCATGCTTCCAAACTTTCATTTTATACCAGCTGCTATGCTTCAGATTTGTGTCAAAACAGCAATTCTGGGTGTTTTGGGCTTCCGGTCCTTCCTGAATAACGATTTTCACCAGGGGGGCACAACATATTAATCTATATCACACATTTATCACTTAAGAAACTTCAGCGTGTGCAATCCCAGTATTACAAAGAACTGCTTGGGCTGCAAAGGCAGGCTACTTTATGTCCAAGAGCTCTTAAAGTCACGATATCTTTGGCCAATCAGAAGGACCCTGACTGCTGTGAGAATTATGATGACACAAGCAGCATCAAAGAGAAACATGTGGTGTTCATTTATTGCAGGCCATATTGTCATCACAAATTCAACAGTGATTTTAAACGTGCAATAATCATTGCACACGATATGCATAAATAAAGCCTCATTTACATCTGCAAACCCTAATAAAAATGTTAAAGTTAAGATTTTTTTAATTGATAAACATATTTTCACATTCAGTAAAATATCAGATGACGTTCTGATTAATCCTGCACCCATAATCAGAACTGCAAATTTACGCCCAACATGTTAAGTTTCGACTCCCTGAGCTTTAGCCCCTAAGTGTTCATTGTCTGTGTTCTGCAGGGAGAACTGGAGTTTAGTCCAGAGCTGTGGATCCCCACTGTTCAGAGCGTCCAGCAGCAGAGCCGTTTGCTCCCGGAGCTGGTGCAACTGACTCTGGGTGCGCTTGTTCTCCTTCATTAGTTGCTTTGTGCGCATTGTGATCCCCAGCAGGCCGGACTTGCTGAGAATGTTGTAGGTGTTGCTGAAGCGTGTCAGTTTGTCACTGGAGACGGGATCCTGGTATGTTACAGTCCTAAAATCATCTGTGTAGGAGGGCAGAGAGCTGCTTTCAGCTCGTAGGGCCAGAGACTTGTCAGGAAGCGGCTCCTGACTCTCGGCTGCCTGTGTTTTGTTAGCTGCTGCTTCAAAGCTGGAGATGGTTGGAGCTCGTGTCTGCAGTGCAGGCTGTGGGCTGGGGGAGTTGTTGAGCCTATGATGGCGTCTCCTCTGACGCTGGTCACATTCTAATGTTTCCGTCGCCTTCAAGGATCCCACCCTCTTACTGGGCGAGTCTGTGGGGTATGGGGCGATTCTGGGATATGACTTGAGAATGGGCATGTAGCTTTTGGACTGTCGTGTATTGTTGGAGCCGGACTTTGAAGAGCTGCTGCTGCTGCTGCTGTTCGATACCATCGGCTGGAGGAGAACTACTTGTGATTGGGGCATCACTTCCATAGGTGACGAGAACCCCCACTGCTTCTCTGACGGGGTCATGGATGATGGCTAAAGAGAAGACAGAGCTTTGATGTCCTGCTGCAGCAGTTATTCAACATACAATAAGCGTTTTTAACCAAAAGCACTCAAATGTTTACTGTCTGGTCTTTTTTGTTTTTGCGATTTCAATCCTACTTATTTTTGCTTTTTCTTGGATCTTTATGGTACAGGGTATATTAGAACAATTAAATCAGCTATTCTGTGTTGCTCATTCCTGATGCTGCCATGCTGAAGTTTCAACACTTTTGCATGGGAGGAAAGGCAACTTAAAGTTTTAAAACCAGGACTTGAACTTCAGCTGTATTTAATCAAATTTATAAAACATGTGGCAAGAATAAACATCTACAGAGGATTTCCAGTATCTGAAAGCCATATTTTTAAGAAATAGATGAAAGAAAATCCAGCAACGCCTGGCACCTCATCTAAGAGAAGCATAATTTATCTTTTCATTTATCTACTGGATGATTGGTTTTGGCTAATTGCTAATTGGAAACAACTTCCTGAAAGTGAAAAAAGAGCCAGTCACAGTGGATGACCTGTGCACTATGAAGTTGTTGTGCTCATGTTTGTAAATCAGAGCCGTTTTTGAATCTCATCCACAAAACCGGACGCTCCCATCAGCACTATTTCTGATTTGTGACCAGATGCTAACTTGCTCCGAAAAGACAATCGGTTCATTTACCTCTGGAGGACCATCAAATATTTCCAAAACTCCAGAGTATCCAGGCAAATATTTTGATTATAGATAACTATTATTTAGGCCTAGTCAGATCATGAACATGAATAAATACAAACGCTCAAAACGCTGATTGATTTCTAGATTGCATTTCAGCCAGTAAGCTCTGCCTGTTTTATCTTCACAAACTACAAATGGACATAAAAAAGAGAAAGCTCTGTGAGCCACAGCCAACAAACATTCAGATATTTGTTTATAGATATAAGTAGAATTTTAGACAGCGCCGAGTCAGAAATGCAGTGAACAGTTCTGTTTTACCTGCTTCAGGACAAAGTTGTTCATGATGATCATTGGGGACAGTCCAGTGTACGAACCTCCCACCACGGCCACCTGCTGACCAGTTGGTTCCTGTCCAATTACTGACCCATTCCTTCCTGTATCTTCAGAGTCCGTCACCTCGACTGCACTGAGGTACTCGGAGCTGGCATCTGACGATGAGAAGACTGGCATATGGGTCTCATGAAGGAAACAGATTTACCTTTTTGTTGTGTCCACAATACTATAAACACTGGAAGATGTAGATACATATCTCTTAAGCATCTGGAAGAGGACACCATCAACCTAATGAGAGTTAAACCAAATCCAGGTCAGTCTTCATCGTATAAAGGTCAGCTACTATTTAGCTCAATCCACGTAGAGAATTTGACCTAGATCTCTAGATTTGATTAGGGTGGACTTCTGAATGGTCAAATGCTATTTCTAAAAATGTAATAACTAATTATAACTAATAAATAATGAATGTGGTTGTATTTATACTTATGTACTTTCAGGTGAAGACAAGAATCTAACTGGAAGAGCTTGCATCACAATTAAAACATAGTAAACAACACAGAAGGCTACATACCTGTGCAAAATATTTGTCTAATTATTTTAAACTATATTAACTCACAATAACAGCACTTCTTCTGAGTTAGACAGTAGGACGTTTGTTACTGTGTAAAATACAGATTAATCTTTAATGCTGAAATCTTTGAGTTTGATAAAAAAAAATAATCTTTTGATTTTTGTAAAATACAATATATTCACAATTACTTTTAGATGACCCTTTGCAGCTCAGATACCAGTTTTGTACAAATCAGATACATCATTGTTGCTTCTGATGATGCGAGGATTGTGTTGCTCAGCGTTCCAAAACAATTCCTGTTTTTGTTTATCTTGTTTCTAAAGTCCAGGGATCACTTCATCAGCCAGTGTTTGGGTCTTTACAAAGATATTCATGACATCATAAAAATGCCATCTTTCCAACCCCTTTAACATTCTCACTCAGAAAATCTCAGCACACCGACTGACAAGACAGCACAGGTGGCACTGTGATAATTCAATACAGTTTAAGCATTATTTGAATTATACTGCACAGTGAACCGAATGAAGATAGATCAAGATCAAAGTCAGAAACATAAAAAGTTCAGAATTAATTCAACATTGTAGTAAATCAAGCATTGCCACTTTGTGCATACATAGAAAATATGTATATTAGCAAAAAAAAAACCAATTTGAATTATCCATTTTGTTCAAATGGTAGAAATAATATTCAAATTACAAACTGTGCATATACTTGGAAGTAATAAATATTTGACACTGGACAAAGCTGTGCCAATTTATAATATCTACTATTACAAACAAAAACAATGAATCCAGTCACGTTCAAACAGTGTGAATTTATCAAACCTGAGAAGCCTGAATCTCTTTCCAAGTCATGGTTGGACAATCCTAGGAGCGATGTTCTGGTGAAACGTGGCACCCCATGTGCCCCCGGTTTACTGAAACCATTCATGCTGGTATCCGCTGTAAAAGAAAATATATAAAGTTAAACAAATTCAAGCAGTTTTTTCTGAATTTGTCTAGAACAAGGGACAGTTTGTGAGGTTCTAATTTAATTGAACGTAAGCCAGGTCAAAGATGAGACTTTTAGGTGGTGGACCCTTAACACAGACTCCAGGTAGAACCTAGAAAGCAAATATGAACACTCAGTTTGAGTGACCGTGGAAGACGTGGATCATTTTCAGGCTGTCCTTCCACAATAAGGCTAGTAGTTTGAGCCGAGTCGCCTCACGTTTCTGTGTCACTGCAGAGCAACAATCCTGCAAACTGAGAGTAATAAAGTAATAAGCCTTATGCAGGTGGTGTGTAACTAAGTAATGCAGTAATTAATAGTAAGTAGTAGGTAATTCACTAAATGACAAAGTAAAGTTTTCGGAATGCAAACTACATAAACTGGTTATTTAAACTAATACGTCATTGCTTCAATGCTCTGTTCCTCTCCTGTATTGACAAACTACCTAATGGTCAAAGGATGAACTTGAACTTTCAAGAATGAACTCAGTTTGACATCTTTGCTTGCGTAAATCTTGTGTCTGTAACTTGGTACTGATGGGTCAGTAGGTCGGTGCCAGTTCCCAGATTAGTCTACAGATTTCATATGAAAGGTAGAACAATGCCCCTGGTGTAAATAGGTACCGTATCGCACCATGCAGTTTTTCTAAGCCATCTACGGACTAATTATTGGGCTGGGACTCTTTTAACATCATGGTGCATAAAGGACCTTTACTTTCGCTTATCAATAAAGTCTGTCCATCAAAAATAACAAAACTATGCTCTGAACAGATAAGCTCAGATTGCAGCCTTACAAAAATTGTCCGCATATTGTTTTGAAGTCAGCTGCTGGGCCTGTTTTCCTTTCAAAGCCAGCTTGGATGCTGATAGCAGGGCTATAATTTAGAGAATTATTAACATGTGTTACAGGAAGCGGAAAGTTTTTGTAAACACAAAAGTAGTTCCATACACTTGTCAAAGTTTGGCTTTTTCGGATAACTTATGATGCTATAGAGAAAGAAAATAATTAATGCAGCATTTGTGTTTCCCTGTTTGCTATCCTCCCTCATCTTCGCTGTTAGCACACTTAGCTTAGTGATGCTAAAGCCCCGTCCGTTAGACTAACTCGTTCTTTACAAGATTACTAACTAGCTCTGTCTGTAGATAATGTTACCGTTTCTGCAAAGCTTACCAATACGCCGTTTGCTTGAATATCCAATAATTGTAGAGTCCCAGTGTTTACCGTTCTGAAGCAGCGGCTACTCGAGTCTGGCTCAGCTAGCTACGCCTTGTTTCCGATTGAATCATGTTGTGGGTTATTATACCGCAAACTTGTCTTACAGGCAAATACAAAGAAAAGCCTGGTTTGATATTATTTTATCTTAGCGTCATCATAAACTACATATATGCTTCCAAATTTTACTTTATGGTTGCAAATGAAGTGGTTTTAGGTAAGTAACATATATTTAAAACCTCCCTGTAAGATCTTACGGCGGGCAATAGAAAAACTTAAATTATGCGGTTGTCAAGGCAACGGGTCAACTCTAACGTCTTCAAATCTAAAACACAGGGCGCGAATTTGTGCGTAAATTATTCTAGAATAAGACGTAACTAGTTAAGTAGTCCATAGCCTTGACACGTTCATTATGTCGTGAATGTAACTGCGTTTTTTAAGTCTACATATTTTATCAGTATTATATAAGAGGCATGAATATGTGACAATTTTTTTAACAACAATCAATGAATTGGGTAAGTATGTTACTTTTTAAACGAATGTGTAGGAATATACTGTATACAGGTATATGCAACCTTGCATGCAGTCATAAAAATTAGATTTTTTTTGCTATTATATTAACATATTAAATATTATTTTAATATAAGCTATAATATATTCAAATATAATATAGTATAATATTGCATTTACTCAATGCTAATATTTCAGTTTTAGTACTTAAAAACTACGTAAAAAGCTTTTTTTTACACTCTTTTTTTTTATTCCAGTGATGTTAGAAAAGGGTCTGACTAAAAAACTTTAACTTTTAAAGCACTTAAATAGTTATATATGTTCACCCAAATCACTGCAAGGAGCAGCTGCCCTTTGCTCCCTTTGATATGTTTGTAATTGTTATTTTTGATCAGCAGGTGTTTATTTTTATTTTTATTTTTAGTCAATTACCTGGACTACATATAAACTTTTACTGTCAAACCTGAGCATTCCTCATCGATAGTGATTGCTCAGGTCAGTTCTTAGCAAAGATAATCACGACTCTAATAATGTGACAAAGGTTTATTACAAAATAAATATTTAAAAGAAATACAAACGCTAGCACAGTCAAAAAAAAAAAAAGTTTCTTACATTTTCATGGATTTCCTTTTGTTTGATACATGACAAAATAATATGAAAAGGGGGCATCCTTTTACATAATGAACTCAGGTGATCCCTTCCGAAAACAGAGGAAGTCACCTGTGGTGTTGGATTAAGGGGAGCGACAGCAGAAAGCAGTAAAACACATTATTCTTTATTCCTGACCACAACAGAAATGAACAAAATATACTGTATTTTAAAATCCTGATGCTGAGACTGAGTTTGAATGACCACTTTGTCTTAAGTCAATACTTTAGCCACCTTAAATGAGCAGTTTTGTTCACCTTATGTTTAACACCAGAGGGAGACATTTCACTATTGCATGTCCAAAGCAGCTGTCCAACACAAAACAGGTCATAAAGTTTCAGCAAAAGATCAACTTTTTAAAGGTTGCTGGTCCAACTATATTCAGCTCCAACAATAAATATAGAGTTTAACAAGTGTAACCTCTTTTAAATACCAAAGAAATGGACAAATTCAGATAAATGACACAGTAAGAATAAAATGAAAACATCGCTCTGTTCCTTTTCTACATTGCACTGGCTCCCAGGTATGCTCCTCGTGTCAGGTGTGTAACAGAGAGTGTTTCCACCAATTAAAACTCGCTTCCCGTTGAACTTTATCGTCACAAACACCCTGTCCGTCAGCAGGACAGCTTGTCAGCAACAATCACCCCAAGCTGTCTGAGTCTCTGGTCGCGAGCAGGCCTGATAGATAAAGTGGAAGAGACTCTTTATGTGGTCGCAGGGCTGGAAATAGTCAGCCGCTCTGCAGCAGGAGGTCGGGTTGCTACTGAAGTTACCTGCGAGGGATCTGACACCTGCAACAAGAAAGAAAACACCTCACCTTTAATTATTTAAATGGCAGCCTACAATATGTGAAGCACTTCTCACTCAAACTGGGATTTTACCTGCTACATTCTTTTGCTTTCTGTCGCTCCTTTCTCTTTCTTCCTCTTCCCCGTTGCCTTTTCCTGCACGTTAAACACAATTATCTACGAACCCACACTTGTTTTTTTTTTTATTATTCAAAAATGGTCTCAGTGCTGATATTTTGAAAGGCATAGACCAAGTTCCTTACCTTTCAGTCCTCACTAAAGATTTCCTGACTCTGTGGAGAAAGTTTCAACAAATCAGAACATTCAAATGCAAATTTAAAACTGTCCAACAAACCTCCTATACTTAATTAGTTTCACTTTTATGTGGAGTTCTTAAGTTTTATCTTTCCTCCATGTTCCAAAGGTGTGTGTGAGGAAACTGATCTGTGTGTGTTTTATGTTTGCCTTTGAGCCTTGCATTGATCAGTTATAGATCCAGGCAGTCAGCTGGCTCTCTAATAAACATTTTCCCTCCTCCCTAACAGCAAATTTATTTTAATGCTGAGAATCTAATTGCTGTTCTTTAAAACAACCATAGTAAATACATTCTTTGTTTCTTGCCTCAAGCCTCAGGGTTCTATAAATTCTATAAATATGCAAATAGCCTGCTTTAACGTCACATCTGTTTGAACACAGCAACAGCCTCTTGTTTGCATGTACATTGCAGAATCAGCTGAGTGACGACCTGCTGCCTCCTCCGTCTTACACACATACTCCAGTTTGGCCCTGTGACCACCTTTGTTGTAGGCTAATGAGCATATTAGAGGCAGATCAGCTTAAACATTACAAATCGGCTTGTGCACTTTCACACATGACACCAATCTTTAACAATGCTGCTTTAAACCTGGATTAAAGTGAGGTAAAACGTCCTAATCTGAGGCAGATAAAGGCAAGCTCAGCTCCACAGAAAACACAGGTCAGAGTAAAATGCAGCCTCTTTTATTTAGGCAGGAGAAGGGAAAAACTGTGCTCGGTGTGTAAATTGCTAAGACTTTCTGAGAAACTTTTATTCCGACAATAACAAGACCGGTTTTCATCAGGTCCAAATAAATAATCCCTGTCATGCACCTCTGCTTTACTTATAGTAGATGTAGGTTATTCTGGACTATTTGGCTCTGCCTTGTACTCTCTGCTCTACTTTTATTGAGTCCTTTATTATCTATATTGTCTCTTTTTGTGTGTAGTGATAAGATGACTCTACTTCTGTCCTTGTGTCTGCAATACTGAGAATGTGAAACAGTGCATGGAGCTAGTATGAGCCGCTAATTGCTAACTTGGATAAACCTGGTTTCTAAATACACTCCAGAAAAGTTCACATAAGTGGTTATTTAGCTGTGTTAAATATAAAACCCTGAAACTACTGTTTAACAATGAAAACAGTGTCTGCTGTTATTTCATGATATTTCTTCTAGCATATCATCACTGATTGGTTGTTCTGAGCAGGCCCAGGAAGTATTAAATTACCATATTGTCTGCCGTACAGGTCACACCGCACTATAAGTCGCATCAGTCCATATATGTCTAATAAATTGGAAAAATCCATAAATACGTCGCTTGGTCGTATACGTCACATCTATTATGCATCACCGCTGAAAACCTGCAAATATGGGACGAACCCAGAAATGTGGGCCGGTGTGCCAACAATCTATGGGCTGCCAAATGACGGCCACAGGAGAGTGGATGGGAGGACTTTAACAAGAATTTAACAAGATTAACATTTAAAAACAATTATTTCTTTGCTCGAAATTATAGCTAAGGTGTATATCAGTCTAACTTTTGCTTAATAAATATATTTTGACGGTCACATCAGCTGCATTTTCAAAAGCCGATACGCGTAAGTAGGAATTTGCAGAGGGTGACTCGCTGTGCATTTCTTCAAACTCTAACAAGATAAACACATAAACACTATTATTTGTTCACTCGACTTTATAGTAAAGTTGTGTCTCAGTTGAACTATTACTTAATAAAAGGACTTTAACCGTAAAATCAGCTGTATTTCAAAAGTATTTGCTGCCTCGGTGCTCTGGGAGCATGCAGACAGGAAATCAGAAAAGAGGAGCGATGTGCATTTCTTCGAAATTTAACAAGATAAGCACCTAAAACAATTATTTGTTTGCTCAACATTATAGTAAAGGTATCTCAGTTTAACTTTTACTTAATAGATGCACTTTAGTTGGTCAAATTAGCCGGGGGTGCAGAGAAACGAAGCTGACTTGATGAGCAGAACAAAGATGGCCCTGAATGGCAAGTGGATTATGTCATTAATAGCCACTTTTACCTATTACATGACACAACGGCATGCCTTACAACTCGAGTTCCATCTAGCAGCTGAAAATGGTAGTGTTCAATATTTTCAGTCAGAATGAATGAAAACGGTCATATCTAACCCAAAATTGGTTTATAAATATGGGAAAAAAATCATAAATACATCGCTTCGGCATATAAGTCACAGAGCATGCAAATTATGAAAAAACGTGACTTATATGACAAAAAATACAGTAAACATGTTGCACTCATCGGTCACTTGACAAATGCACACGTTCACGTCATATATTTACATGAATGTGAAGTACAGGTGACGTGGGAAAGCATATTTAATTGTGTTTAAACTCAGAAATTAGGACTTAAAAGCGTTTTCTTGTTTTCTTACCTACATTCACATGTCTGATGCTCCACAAATGTCATCTCAACGTATTCTTGCCCTTGCTCCGAAGGTCGGATTTTCAACAGCTGATGAATAACATGGTTCAGAACGATCAGAGGAGGTGATTACGGTGCAAGCTGCAACAGGATTGACCCTTAACGCTCTTTTCTTACCTGCATGGTGACGTTTGTGGTTCGAGTGGGATGGCACTCTAATTTCTCGTCTCCACAGCAGCCGGCACACCTCACCAGAGGCACGCAGGAGGGGCTGTAGATGTGCTCCACTTCTGTCGGGTATTCCTGCACCACCTCAACCAGCTTCTCGATGGTCCGGCAGAAGCTGCGGCTCCACACCTCTTGAAACATCAGCACTGTGTAAGAAAACGTAAACGGATGAGCTGCAAACGCATCCGCTTCTAAATAAGATCTTAATGAAACTTAAAGATAAAACAACTTCACGAGCATTAAATAAGCCATGCTTTAGTTATTTATTTATATGTATACAAAATCAGCAGTAATTACTTGAATAATGCAATAACGACATGCCTTATTGATGTACACGGAAACTTAAAACCAGTTGTGTTATGCCACTGTGCATCCTGTTTGCATTTTGCAGAAAAAGCAACATTTGTATAATGTGCAGTACACTTTCCTGTGGGAGTACATGTGTGAAAGTGTCCCAGTTGCTGCGGGGGAAGAACAGGGACGACTATAGCCAAACACAGGAGGAAGCGAAAACAAACACTGGTAACATGGCCATGAACAGAACCCTGCTGGAGCTGGAGCTGAGCTGCCCCGCGGGCACCTCTGGGACAGCGGTGACCCCCAGAGGTCACCAACTGAAGCCTGACACCACAACAGCTGTTTATAAAAGCAGACAGGCAGGGAGGAGACGGCCGGGGAAGAGGCTATCGTTGGGAGAGGAGGCCATGAACCGTAATGTAGCACAACGCAACGAGATAGTTCACTTGATTATGTCTTCTGCTTCTCTGGACTTTTCTGTGATGCGTTCCTAACTCTGGCTGGGAGTTCCACACATTTTCAACGTCCAGTTTATTTCTTGGGCAGCATTAATTTATAGTGAGGGGAGGGCGGAAAGGATACAAGGGAAGAAGGTCAACAGTTGTGTAATCCCTTCTAGCTCAGGCATGACCCGTTATCCTCCACATTCAGGTCAAACCTGCTAACCGACAGCCAAGAATGTTTAGACATTTAGAGTTACCCTACAGCGCATGGCAATAAATTAAGAATGAATGTATTAACTATGAATGGTGCTTTTTCTCAACTGGTATCTTAATATCCACTAAGAAAACAAACAAAAATACAAAGGGAGATGCTGTTTTTAAAGTAAAGTTTTTGAGATATAACATATATCTTAAAAAACTCAGCTCTTCCAGATTTCAGAAAATAAAGAAGCAGAAGAGTTCCTACCTTCTGCTGTTCCATTTGTGTTTGTTGTGGGTAAATTCTGAAAAACAAAAATCCATATTATGGCAGTGTTAATATTTAGTATAGCTAAAAGCCTAGAATTCTTTAAAGGATTTTATATCACCATCAATAACAGCAAAGTTTTATCATATTTGGTTGAGAAATGCTGGAGTTGTAGCCATTTTGGTCAAGATAGTGTTTTGTTCATGCTCATGAGACGTCACCCTCAGAGTACATGTTGTGAATGAATCTCAGCTACTACCACATCAAATTTTAACTCAATATCTGTAAAACTGACGGAATCATAGTTATTGTTGCGTTGGTTAATGTCAATTAGTTGTGTTGGCCACCTTCAATTGAATTTACTCCAAAAGTTAACAATTTCTAAATGTTTATTTGTAACCTAATTTATAAAAGTGTTCTTAAAAAACATTGAATAGTTCATGAGGTATTTTGCTAACAGACAAATGAGGTTGACTGCAATAGTTAATGCAACATTTTAAACAAAGATCTGGTAGAGTGAGAAGTACATGAAGTATGTGTTGTGACTGATTCTTAGCTACAACCAAAGCATATTATTATTAGCATTATTAACATTATTAGCATATTTTTAGCATAATAGCTGTAAAACTTCAGGTCTCTCTTGTAAATGAGTCTCCGAGGCTCAGTGGGATTAACCTGTATAAAAAAAGGTTGAATACAAAAAAAAAAAAGGACTGAATTTTAATCATTTTTATGCTTTCTAAGGTCATTTTGCTGAGGCGTTATCTTAAATCGGGTTAACGTCAGATGATAATCAGTTATAGATGGGCATGTAATGATTACATTTTAAGAGTCTCGTTGTAATTTATCCAGTGGTTCATGAGATTTATTGACAACAGACAAACACACACTTTGACACAGGAAAAACATCATCGCCTGCCTTCGGCCTATTGGTAATGGGTGTCCAAAACTGATTCAACACTTGCAAATTTAAGTAAATTTGTAAAGATAATGGATGGATGGATGGATGGATGTCCTCTGGTGGTGACAGCTGGAACTCCATGATCCCACCCTGCAATGAGTAAATGTTTCTGAGCAGACCCGCCAGTCTTCTACATGCATACATCTCATGTCGTTCTGTGTGCCCAGCTGTTTAGGTTCCAAACTTGTTTCCTGTGGCGTAAGATCCAGCTCTGTATTTATTTTCCCATTGATGGTTTCCCCCCTCCGTCTTGAGTATTTTCCCATCATCCCACGATAAACAGAGCGAATTTCTCATTCGCCTGGGAAAACACAAAACCTCTGGTTGACTCCTTCTCAGGAAGGGAAATCTAGGTTTGATAAAATACCCCCAGGCCAACACGGACACGGACAGGCGGCAGACAACCTGCTTCCGCGACCCCTGCTCCTCGTTGGAGTCAGAATTTCTGTAGCACGAACCGGATCAAATTTACTGCGCATAACTGTCAGTGCATGGAGGTTAGTGGGAGAAATGTGTTATGTAATAGTAAGAAGACAACTGATTCCAAATAGTGGCAGTAAAGGTTGTATTTTGCACCATCTGTTCACTTAAAACATGTATTCTCTTGATGTTAGGAACTAAAATGAAGATATTGTCACGTAACAGTGCAGCTATTTGTGCTAAACCAGAGATAAATCAGATTCTGATCTGCTTTCTCAGCTGCACAACAAACTTTATAACTTTTATGATCTGATCAATGTTAGGGTCTACCACTCAGGCCTTAGGGAAATTGGTAAGGTTTCTCCCTTTACATTTTTTGCAAAGTGGCTCGTCATCTGGCCAACACGTCCAGCTGTTCTTCAGACAGCAGCCTTGTTCTGTGCAGTACCACTCACAGAACTGTGTCTGCCACACAAAAACACAGCAGGATGTGAGCTCTGCTTGCAGAATATTTTTAATGGGCAGCATGGGAAAGTCTTAGTTCAGTCATTGTCACTTTCACTGCATGGAGTCGTAACGGTTTATTCCCTGTAGCAACTTCAGAATAAAACAAACCTTTTCACAACTTTACCAACCACCACCCACCTACACACACACACACACACACACACACACGCACACGCACACACACACCCACACACACACACACACACACACACACACACACACACACACACACACAAATATAAATATCAAATATCTTTGATATCTCTTAAAGTTGAGAGAAGAGACATATTTTACCCTGAACAAGTAAATTGTTGCCTGATGATGCTCATGTAGCCCTTCCCTCCTCTTTACAGTATTAACTAATTTAATTTAATTTAATTCAGTTTATTTATATAGTGCCAAGTCACAACAGAAGTCATCTCAGGGCACTGAATAGAAACATTCATATATAAAAATTATAATTTAAGATTTTATCTGAGGAGCAGACTGCTTTGAATTCAACTCCATCACAGAACACTCATCTTGAGCAAGCATGAATTCATTTTAATAATTCATTTAAGGAAATGAGGTCAATTTGTCCTCTAGTAGTCTAAGCCTATAGCAGCATAACAAGCTGACCCTAACTATAGGATTTATCAAAAAGGAAATTCTTAAGCCCAGTCTTAAAACTGGACAAAGTGTCAGTCTCCCGGACAGAAACTGGAAGTTGGTTCCACAAGAGAGGAGCCTGATAACTGAAAGAGCTTCCTCCCATTCTGCTTTTGTAAACTATAGGAACCACGATATAGCCTGCAGTCTGAGAGCGAAGTGCTCTGTTAGGAAAATATGGAACAATAAGATCTCAAATATAAGATGGAGCTAGGTTGTTGAGGGCTTTGTAGGTTAGAAGTAAGATTTTTAATTCAATTCTGGATTTGACAGGGAGCCAATGGAGAGAAACTAAAACTGGAGAGATATGATCTCTCCTTCTAACTCCAGTTAAGACTCTGGCAGCAGCATTTTGGATCAACTGAAGATGTTTTAAACAAGTTTTTGGACACCCAGATAATAAACCATTGCAATAGTCCAGTCTAGACGTGACAAATGCATTAATCAGTTTTCTGCCTCATTTTTAGATAAGATGTTTCTAATTTTAGTGATATTACGCAGGTGGAAGAAGGAGGTTCTAGTAATGTTTTTAATGTGGGGGATAAAAGACATGTCCTGATCAAAAATAACACCAAGATTTTTTACATTATAGCTTGAGGTCAGATTAATGCCATCCAAGGAGGGTGAAAGACTGAAAAATCAATTCCTAAGATGCTCAAGTCCAAAAACTAAAACCTCAGTCTTATCTGTGTTCAAAGGCAGAAAATGTAGGGTCATCCAGGTTTTTATGTCTTTAAGACATGCTTGTAATCTAAGTAGCTGATTGGATTCATTGGTTTTTATGGACAAATATAACTGTGTGTCATCAGCATAACGATGAAAATTTATCCTATGCTGTTTAATAACTTTACCTTATGTAAGCATATACAAGGTAAAGAGTATTGGTCCAAGCACTGAACCTTGCAGAACTCCATGACTAACTTTATTGTATGATGAAGATTCATTATTTACATTTACTAATTGGAATCTATCAGATACATATGATTTAAACCAATTTAGAGCTGTTTCGGTAATTCCAATTGTAACTGAGTGATAGATGGTGATGATGGTGATAGAAGGTAGTTAGGCTCTTGTGGAATGGGGGTGGGGTGTTGCACCAGTGATTTATGGGTCATCTTGACTAAAAACCTCTTACAAGCAGGATCTATTTCTGAGCAGTGTTTCTTTCCCTTCATTCCCTAATGAGAAGAGCTTCCTTTTTCAGGGAGTTTAGGATGAGGACTCATGTTGATCTGTATCAGTTTTATTTATTGTTCTTGTGTTGATTAAGAGCTACTGTACACTAACAAACCGGATTTGACACAAAAATGCATTTTGTTTTTTGGGAAACGATTAAAACGCCTGCATGACACAGCATTCTTTAAGGCTGTAGGGGTGAATTTTCTGCACAGTATGACGTAAAAAATGTGCTTTTAGCCATTTGTTAATTTGCTGCTGCCCAGCTATGGGTAGACTGTGGAGGCAACAGGTCCTGGAGGGAAACCCAGCATTCCTTTCTCCATGGACCTTATCTGGTAAATCAAAATGTTTTATAATCTGCATATACTAGGCAATACTTTCTCAGAATTACTGATATTTAGCAAAAACAAGAAAACAAAATGACATGATTAAATCGCTGAGTGGATTAATGGTTTAGAATTAGGAGAGCATCTTGTTTAAAAAGATGGATGAATAATCAATACCGTATGCAAACTGTTTTGTTGCATTTTTAAAGACTAACAGTCAGCTCACATAAACTTTAATACGTTTCAGTAAAACCATAGAATGTAATTTATTTCTTATCTTTACTTTTCGTGATTAAAAATGTGCATGTACTATATAACCAACACCTTTTTTCCCCTTGTAATCAGATTAGTTTGCAGAGAGGACAGTTTTGAGTTTTAGTAGAGACTATTTGACATATTTGTTTCATTGTGAATCCATTAAACACATTTAGTCCTGAGTTGGATTAGAGGGCAGGCTGAGTCCCCTGAGCCCTGTTGTTGGGCCCTGGTGATCTGGTGCGTTGTAACTCTGCAGTCCCACACAGCCGAACTGCGTCATGTTTAACCTCCTGGCTTCTTCTATCTGTCAGGCGAAGGGCAGCATGTATAAGGAGCGAAACGCTCACATGATCCAGCTTAATAGGTTGAAGATTTTTCAACTCAGGGGGTCAAGTGGAGGGAGGAGGTGTCGGTTAGCTGGACAGCAGGTACCAGGGAAATTTGCCAACATTAGGCAACTTATTTCACACTGTACACAAATAAAGCAGAGTGACACAGTACACTGTGGCTACAGAGCCATTTTAGGACAAATAGTTTGTAATTTTAACAAACCTGAACGCAAGGGTGAGGCGCGTGTTTTTGAGAACTGTTTTAAGTGAAAACTTTCTAAAAGGGCCCATAAATTTTAATCAGATGCTTTTTTCAATCTATCATTCAACATTTTAAACCAGGTTAAAAATCTTAAATTAATAGCTATAAATATGATATATTTCAGGGCTATTCAACTTGTGGCCCGCGGGCCATTTCCGGCCTACAGGTGACCAATCTGACTCACCAATGACTTCATAAAAAAATATAAAATTTAAAAATATATTTGAGAGGGAGGTTGGGGTTGAATTTGGGGTTCAGTTTATTGCATTTATGACTTATGCAATAAAATTAACAAATTTTGTAAATCTTGGTTTATTTACATAAAGACTTTAATTGCTGTATGT